ACACCCATTCAATAGATTTTGGATTTTGAAAAATTTTACACTACATAGACATGGGCCCGTCTTCGTACAAGACCTAGGCTTAGTAAAAGTATTACGATGTGCATTGTTTGGATTAAATCGAAACTCAACTCGATTGATATTGGATTTAAAAATTTTAAATTGTGACACTTTTTTGGGATGGTACCAAAAGGAGTGGACCGATAGGCCCCATCGCTTACTATGATCTTGGTCTGGTAAAAATATCAAGTTTAGATGAAATCGGATATTCCGTTTCCAGGCCTCCATACCAGGTTTACTTGGAATATATAAATTGAATGGGCATATGTCCCGGAAAGGAATAGAGTGTCCACCAAATGTAATATATACGTCCGGAAAGTAAAGAATTTGCAAGTTTTGTCTCTATAGCTAACAACAGTTTAGAATATGGACATGTTTTTTATCTTCTTTCTGATCTCCTTCGTTTCCTAAAGTCAAATACACATACAAGTGAAACTTATCTAAATAGGTACAAGGACATTGTCTCCACATTATCTTCTGATCTTTGTCAAAAACGTTTGTGCCATTAGTGACGGCTGAGGAAATGATTGCTTTTATGTTATTAGAAATTAATTATCCTGAAGATAAATATTCTTCTTTTTTCAAGTTAAAATTAAGTTCACCGCCATACTCATTGCACGCGCATTAGTTTATAATATAAGGGGTAACAAAATGACCCTAATATGCTATGACCACATGGCCTTACAATTCACGCACAGAGTAGTGAGAACTTTTTATTATATTCCACCAGTAAATAATAGGGTGATGATAAATACGATTTGGGTCATCAAAAGTCCCCAATATAGTAGCAGGGTTAATCGAAATTCTTTTCGATTTGAAAATAGCAACAAAGCTTCACGAATCTTGGAAGTAAAATAAAAATTAAATTAAATATAACAATATTGCAAAATTGAAATATGTTTTCCAATTTATTTTATTTTTACTACATTTATATATTTCTAAGTCTAATTATTTCAATTTTCAATTTATTTTTTCATGGATGGAAAACTAGTCACGAGGCCAAGATCGATTCCACTATACATCTACTACTCCAAAATCATTAACCTAACAATAGATTTATCTCAACATAGAATCTTAAAAACAAATATAATTAATTAATTTAAATTATATAAAATCATAGTTTTAGGTTTTTGAGTATTTATTGAAAGCCCCATATTCGATAACTACGTGTGCTAGTCACTTAGTTATCGAATATTAACATTAAAATCAAACATCCATGAATACATTTTCTCCTTTAAACAATATCAGAAAAAGCAAATGATATACAATTCCTCTTATTAATATAACCGAACAAATCATTAACATACATTACGAACAACAGGGGGCCTAGAACAGATCCTTAAGGCACACCACTACTCACTGACAACATACTCGAAAAACGATTTCTACACGTATTGCTACCAAATAAATATGAAAATATCAGATTATCAGTGAATTTTTTATATAAATATAAAGGAGAAGAAGTGGTAAACCATTTCTATTAGTTCAAGATTCTTGCAGGTTATATATATTTATATTTTCTTTGTTTATTTTACATACGTACATATTTAATCTAAGCTAATTGTTTAATATTTTTATGTCATTTATTTTCATTTTCACGGGTAATTTATTAAAACGCCATTTTTTATACAAAATTTAATAAACTTAAAATTCATAAATATGTAAACGAAGCTATAATTCTTAACCCAAAATCCTATAATAAAAAAAACCTTTTTAAAAATACGACTTGGTGGGTATAACTACTTCAATCGTATACGTATACCTAATGGTGTACGGAAAAAAACAAAAAAAAAAAAACGACAACTCTCAAGGGGAGCAACCGATTTCATTCACACTTGGCACATAGTAATATTTATTCCCAACTTAAATTATTTTCGAAGATGGGGAATATAAGTCCACTCCTTCTGGTACTTCCAAATTAAAGCCTAATGGTTTAACCATATCTGTATAATGTTAGGAGATAAGCGAACGGAATATCCAAATCATCATAACTTTCCACAGAGTAATATATTTGCCTTACATATATCGAACTAACTTTGCAAACCTTCATTAAATCATATGATGGGGTCTATACGGCAACCACTTCAAGTATCAAAGATGGTCAACTATTTTATATATCTATATAGAAAACAGAAAATAGTTGTGTGTTTGTTTGTATGTTCCCGATATACTCAAAAAGCGCTGAACAGATGTTAATTAGATTTACACAGTATGTCATGACATGCCCTAAAAGTAACATAGTGGATGCAGAGTTATACGAATAACAAATGTTGTGACGGAGCGTGGCTTAGAAACGTAATTCAAATAAATATTCTTAACATTTCTGACATTCCCGAAATATTGAACATTATTATTACTGCTTCTTCGAATCGAAAATTCGAATAGAAAATACTTAATATAGGAAGTTTCTAAATACATAAAATAAACAATGCAAAATCGATTTATAAACGTAATGTCAAATACGCACAGTTGTGGACCTTTAATAACAATAATTTATGATATTGGGGTACCGTTATATGACAGTTTTACCAGTAAAAATTTTTGTCATTTTGTAAAATTGGCACCCGTATAAATGCATTCTGAAATTCTGACGCGCTGAAAACCCACAAAATTGGAGGATGCCGTTATATGGCCGCTACACGAAAAAGTGAACCTATATTTATAATTTTTAGTGGAGATAAAGTGGGCCACACACCTCAAACATGTGCGTTCGATCGGTGTGAAGCTCCTAGCCCACACACGTCAAACGGATCCATTAAACTTCATTTAATATTTATTTTTGAAGCGTGTAGATGGACCGCGATAGTGATGACGGAAAAAGGACGAAATATTTTTATTTAATATAAATGTTTATCTTTTATTTTATTCCGGGAAAAAACATTTTTATTTGCCACACAGTAGAATATGTGTAAAAACATCAAAAAAAATCTTCCAAATACATATGTATTGCATTTGTCCGCTGATCCGCACTCCACGAAATTTCTCAACAAATGAGAAAATATCCACACACCAGGCCACAGACGTCTTTCGATCGGTGTGCGCACCGGCAAATCGGTGTGAACACCGTACCACACACGTCAAACATTGCTTCGATTCACACCGATCGAACGCACATGTTTGACGTGTGTGGGCCACTTAATTAGTATCCAATACGAAACCAAAGTACCGACTTACAGCGAATTCGGATAAAAAACGGGGGTACCGTTATATGGTGGATATGTCTAAAGGTAGACCGAACTTCAGCACCCTATCTCAATTCCTTCAGAAGATATCGTGATTGCAACAGACGGACGGATATACTGTGGTAGAGGGTATGAAAAAATTATATCATAAAAAACGCAATAATCGCTATTTGAAGCCTATTGATATCACTTTAAAGAATTTCATCAATATATTTATTGTGACAAATGTTCAGAAAAAATAGGACAAATTAGTGAAAGTCTATCTAATTAGATTATAAAAAATTAAATTATGTACCTTTTTTCGCTCTACTGATCTATAATACAATACAAAAACAATACAAATTTTAAAATGTTCCAAAATAGTACCATCAACTACTTCTAAATGGCGGCAATATCCTATTATTTTGGTCCATATATCGAAAGCAAGGATGGTTAGAATAATATAATATTTTTACATACTTCTGACTATTCCTCATACATGAATGTTATTTACACGCTGGTCCGTTGCGAATACGCAAATTTTTTAATTAAGCAGCGTTTTTTTTTTAAGAAATATGCATTTTTGAAGTAATTTCGTTTTCAATAATCGATTTTTTATTTAAGAAAAATTGAAGGAATTTCAAACTTTGCAATTGAAACATTTTTGCAATTAACCGGACTTTTCTATTAAACGGTGTGCAATTAAGCGGATTCGAGTGTATACCCACATTTGTCTCAAGGCGGATGTATAAAACTTCAAGATTTACCTAATTTAAAATCTAAAATTTGTCTATGTTACAACTGCATAAAAGTTGTTTACTACTGAACTTTAAAATTCATAGCTTCTGAGGCGCCACGGTTTCAGCTAATATTTTATAATTTAAGGGAACCCCCCCATTCTCGATTTTTTATTTTTAAGATTTTAAATGGGCTGGTAAATGAATACCAATGCTTGTTAAGGTTTGTAACTTGGCACATATATATTTGAAGATTTAAAAAGGAAGAAAAATAATTTACAAAAATTTGTTGTTGTTGTTTTGTTGTTGTTTTTTGGGTGCAAAGAAAAGTCCACATTTTCGATGGCGGGCATGATAACTCCTCACTGGAACATCGGAATCCGAAAATTCCAACTGTGTTAGAAAGAGGGCATGTCTGGCTCTCGTATGAACTAGGATTATTGACTTCGCTCTAAAATTAACAAAATGGTGGACCTTTGAAAATTTTTTTTTGGAAAATCGCCGATTTTTTACCAAAAACCATGTTAAAAAATAAGGAAGATCTTCACCGATTGGCTTTATCCTAGTTCATACGAGAGCTATACACTCTCAGAGAAACGCTGCAAAATTTGGAACCGATTGGATTATTGGTTTTTGAGTTATCGTGCCCGCCATTCACAAAAAAATGTTTAGAGTAAAACGCGTTTAAAGTTTGAGAAGCCCTTTAGCCGTCACTTAATGTTGATACAATAAATCGGATATATCTTCAAGACTTCTTGAGATTTTCACTTGAAATTTTGTAGAGACATTCCTTAATCAGTGTAGATTCGAATTATATCAACAAAAATTTTGACACCGAGAATAGGGGGGGTCCCCTTAAATATTAAAATGTGTGTGTGTAGATTAGATTATATTAATACTGATATTTTTGAGTATATTTATAAATTGAAGAAGTAGTGAGTCTCCATTTGCATGACATATAGGAACTTAATTACATTTTTACATATCGAAATGTATTATGAACTTCGCTTGAGTAAAACACTAATACTTTGAATAACAAACTCACCAATGTCTTTGTTAGACGTTAATTGATAGGCGATATCATATACCCCAGAGTCTTTTAATTTTTTTCGCCTCTTTGCTTCCTTTAGTTTCTGTTTCTTCATGTTTGCCTTTTGCAGCAATCTCTTTTGTTTTTCCTTTTCTGCTCTTGCTTTCTTCTCCTCTTTAGACATGCCTTGCAAATTTTGAAATTCTTTGAATTCTTCCAAGTTCATACTTTCATCTAATAGAACCAATACGGTTCCGTTTTTAGCTGCTTCAGGATATGGGTGAAAATCTCCAGTTTTATCGTAACTATAGTATATACATTTAGACAGTCATGTGTAGTTTTTAATTGGATATAATACTACTTACAAGTCCCTAAACCATGCCCTAATGTGATCAGAAATATCTTCCATGATATTTGGAGCTCTTTCTTGTAGCAATCTTGTGCGTTCATCAATAATCAGCATCTCAAATTTCGAATTCATCATTTGTTTCATTAAATCCTCTTTATAAAACTCCATAATAGATTGTGTGTGCTGATGGGCAGCAATTAGGCGTCTAGTTCCTACCATTCCATACAAACGTTTTTGAAACAAACCATTTTTTGCATTTATTTTTTTCGCAGTGTACATCCTCCAAGCCGACTGAATACACATAGCAGCGTTTTCCATTATTTTATTTATAATTAATTGTTCAGAACCTGTAAAAGATGATGTTTTATGCCAAAAACTTGTTCAGCACCAACTTCTTTAAAATTTAAGTTATCTTAAAAAAATAATACATTCAATTGTTTGGTGGTGTTATATGCATCATACACATGGAATCGGAGCGATATCATAATCTGAACCCACGTATATAAAACTAGACACACGTCATTCCATACTTAATTCATTACACTTTGCACCATTTCACGTAAATCGGACATACGTAGTCTAATGGGTGCATCTGAATTTGAAATTGGTGTACATGACATTTCGTTTGAATTTCAAATTATTCCATGAGTAATGTTTGAAAGAGGCGAAAGGAAACGAGATAGACCCATGGATCCTTTTGAGAATATGCATAGAATCACTTTCTAAGTCCATTTATGCACTTCCATCCGTTCGTGTTAAATTGTAAAAAAAAGTCCAGGTCGCATTAATTATCCGAATTGGACGAAATTTCTCACAGCTCATTTGTTTGGCCAAGGACGAACCCTATTGAAATTGGGAAAAATCTGTCATATTTAGTTATAGGTCCCATGTATAGTATCATCCAGTTTTTAGTAAATAGTACACCAAAGCGCCAACATATGGCCAATTGACACAAAAATTTGCACAACGTACTGAAGTTAGTATAAACTACTGTATGGAAAGTTTCACTAAAATCGGTTTAGATTAAGCTATAGCCCCCATATATATTTAAATAAATTTAGTTTTGCAACAGAAATTTTTTAATTCCACTAATGTTATATAAATTTCTATACACACAAGAGTAAAATGAAAAATGTAATAGACCAAATTCTTATATCGCATATTCAGATTTAGCTAACGTTGATTTTTGTAAAAATTTAATTTTACCCGGCCGGGCACCACGGTTTCTTGTATCGCATATTCAGATTTAGCAAAAGGTGCTCTACGTAAAATTTTACTTATACCCGGCCCGGCCCCCAGAATACAGATCGAGTTAGTAAAACTAATTGGAGACTACCTCCATAATAAACACAGTAATCAGTTTGGGTTTGAATCCAACATTTTTGAGAGGTCAAGGGTATGAAGGCGCGTCTTACATGTCAGGCAATTATATTGGAGGGCAGACCGTTATTAAATCAAAATTCACTTCTGCGGAATATTTTCATTATTCTAATAGGGGAAAATGGATTTAATTTGGATTTATTTCTAAGAAGTAGAAGTTTCAGGTCAAATGTAATGAGTTCGAACTCCGAAAATATTATAGAATTACATTACTTGTACCATGTTTGAACGAAGTCTTTTTGTTGTATTTACAACAAGCAGATATCTGGAGGTGGATCTGTGGATCACAATGTGGAAAGCGAAAGATCCCCGACCATCTAATTTATTTAATGTGATTGTAGTATGTGACGAAAATCGATTTCCAAACATAAATATATTGTTACAAATTTTAACCCTTTGTGGCCCAATGTTCATATTCTCTTTAGGATAGTTACATTAATGTGTGCACAGAAAAGGGTTAATAGCAATACCGGTAACCACAGCATCAGCTGAAATAAGGTTTTGTACCCCACGTCGATTGAAAAAGTAGCTGAGAAATCAAATAAAAAGCCAACCTACTGTGTTGAACGTTCCTCTGAAATCGGCTCAGATTTACGTATGTAGCTTCGTCCGATGTTCAGTAAATGGTGCACTAAAGCATCAAAATACGACCGATTCACACGCAATTTTGAACAATGTACTGAAGTTACTATAAAATAACGTGTGTCAAGTTTTGTTGAAATCGGTTCAGATTTAGATATAGCTCCCATATATAGTTTCATCCGATTTTAAGATAATTGTGCACCAAATATCTTAAAAAAGCCGATTAACATACAATTTTTTAAATTGGTTCATATTTGGTTCATATTGGTTTCGTCCGATTTTAAGTAAATGACGCATCACGGACCCAAAAATATGTCTCATATGTACAAAAGAACTGAAGTTAGTATAACCTTAATCGTTGAAATCGGTTCGGATTTTGATATAGCTTCCATATATACTTTCGCCCGATTTCATGGTGCACCAAACTCCTAATGTTTACCAGATTGTGTTTTGTAGAAATGCAGATATAGCCTCCAGGCTCCACACAGTCAATGGGTGTCTGATTGAGGCTTGCTTTACATCGGTTTATATATTTTTGTCCCATTGCAAACAAACGACTCTATATCTGTCCATATGAAAAATTTAGCATAGTTTGCAGAATGACATGTCTATGACTGATTTAAGTCAGATAAAGATAACATATTTTAGTTTATCCAACATCATGTTAATTGTCCTTCAAAAATGCGACGTTTATAAGGATGCATCTGTTGAATATACTCAAATTGGTGAAGGGTGTCATATAGTCAGCTCTGTCCGATGTCTACTTTCAATAAAATAATTTTTTCTGGGGGAAGTCTATACTTCCCGAGAAAAGGCCTTTAAAGTTCGCAGAAGTCTGGTTATTCACTAAAGGAAAATAAGGAAGTTCTTCGCCGATTGGCTTTATTATAGTTCATATATAGTTCATAGCAATACACTCCTAGAGAAACGTGTCAAAATTTGGAACCATTCGTAAAACACTGCTTCGAGAAAAATGCGTTTAAAGTTTAAGATGCTTCACTGCCAACGGAAAAAAGGAATACTACAAAGATGCGATAATGAAGACTCCGGACATTATATGTAGCGAGAATTAAAGATGTTTCAAAACGTATAGAACATATTATAGACAAAAAAGCTTCCGATATATTGAAAGAAAAAAAGTATTACAATTTTATTGTATGGAAGGGAGGATAACAGAACGAGCTAATAAAAAAGTTGAAGAATACATCAAGAAGTCTATTGTTGAAGAAGTGAAAAATTATGTAGTCTTTTCGGTTTTAGCGGATGAAACTACATATATGAGCTTCATGATTGCGTACATATATAGAAGAATCTTTGGAAAAATAGGGGAAAATGATAATATTAATGTGTCACGACCGCGGCCAAAAATGGTCAAAACCAACTTCCTCGGAGGACATATTTATTGATGGAAATTGATAGAAAACACTCCAAGTAGAATAATTATGAAATTAGGTATTTATACGACAAGTAGTTTTGTCTATACAAGGGTTCAAGTCTTATAATTGTTGGCAAACTGCTTTTTAACATTTTTTCGAAAAATGGGTACATTTTCTGATACTAAAATCTTTGAATTGACGGTTAATATAAAAGTGTTTATTTTGGTTGATTGGGATGTTAAAAACTAGGATTAACTGTTGTTTTTATGTAAGTAGAGACAATATGGAGTTTACAGCTATCCACGCCTTTAGTACTTAGCTTATATAATTTATAAAGCTAATTTTTTAATTAGCGGAGTACAACAAAAAAATTTAAAAAGGTTTCGTCCTAATTCTTTTTTAATTGTATTGTGGGTGTTCTTCAACGTGTAAAAAAATTAGCTGCGGAGACTTGCGGCCCTAACAGTTTTTTACGTTTTTTAGTGAAGATATAGTCGAATTAGTATTAAAATATTGCTTTTTCATGGTTGCTTTTGAATTAGATTTGGTCAGCTTGAAGATTATACTAATTTAACGCAGTATATAGTATAAATTTAGACAACGCACTTGCATTACCTTTATGGAAAGTTCATACAGAAAATTTTTCGTTGGGAAGACAATATTTAATTTATTCCTGATGTATGTTCTGAAAATCTGATGAATGATAAATCCATAATGCATGTAGTAACTAAAATATATGAAATATCTTGTTATTAATAAAAATAACAGTACAAATATAGTGGCAAATAGTGAAATAGTGATTTTATGGTATAGAATAGTTACTTATTTAGGAATATAATTACTTCTTAAAGGTCCTTTTTATGGTACGCGTTCTGAAACGTCAACCAACAACTGAATTGCAACACATATTACTGTCTTCGTCCCAATCTATACTAATAAAAGAGTAAAGTGATTGACTGACTGACTGACTGATTTAACGATTCATCAACGCCGAATATTACGAGTATTCAGTACAGCTATTGTCCAGATTCCCTTCACCGTAGGTTGTGTTGTGATGTTCGGCTTTCATTTGTGGTCTATAGATCGACTAGAAAATAACACAAAAAATTAAGTTTTCGGTCCACTTCATTCCAAAATTATTATCTGATCATCACCGAAAATTATAGGCGTTGTCCTCGACCGTAACTGGAACCTCATGGAACATTTTAAAGCGATTAGCGCTATAGTTCCGCTCTCTAGAGTGATAATGGGTTACTAAATAATAGACGAATACGGAGATACCTGTAAATATTTAGATGTAACTCCCACATCCGAGCACATACAACAATATAATTGGTTATAATTTAAAGGTCAACCACTTCTCTTGGATATAATATCAACTTCTCAGGTCTATGTCCTTCAGGTGTATATATATACGCTATAGAATACACATTTTGTAATTTTTCACACAAAAGTCACGGCCGCTAAATATTGACCGATCTTTATCAAAACAAGCATGCTTATTCTTTGGCCCGATCCCCTTGGTACATTTCATCCCCTAAATATTAACCAATCTTTCCCAAAAACAATAGGGGTCTTCATTGGCCAAAACCTATCCTACATGCAAAATTTCGTATATCGTATTTACAAATTATAATGGACAGACGGACGGACGGACACACATGTCTAGATCGACTCAGCTAGTCGAGATATGACGATCGGTATACTTAAAGGTGGGTCTAGGACCAATATTTCGCGGCGTTACAAACTTTTGGGCCTGCACAAAGCTATAATACCCTGACAACATAGTTGTGTAGGGTATAAAGCGTAAAGTGATTGTCTGACTAACTGATTTAACAATTCATCAACGCCCAGACAACGGCTGAAGCTAGAATCTTGAAATTTTGGGTGAGGGTCACCCTTGGTCCAAAGGTGACAGATAAGGCTGGGTTTTTGGAAATTCGTACTAGAACGGTACGAAAAGTACTAAAAAGAACTAAATGTGATACCATTTGTATTTGGCGAACCGG